TTTATTTATTAATATAAAAGTAACTGAGATGGGAAAAAATTAGAAACTTATCAGGTTAGATGAGGTAAGATAACAATAAATGCTTGCAAGTAGCTCATGTGTTTCATAATTTGATATGAGCAGCACATGTGCTGAGTGATTTACAACTTATGTTGCAGGATTCTTTTGTAGACACAGTTCAAAGGGCAATAAAACAGTAAAATCAAGGATAAACAACTATGATTTCCTGTTACAATTTGCAGTCATTCTATAAAAAAAAAAGTGTAATTTAGATTTATTTCGTATTTTTTATGGTGGTCAAAAGGTTAGGGAAATTGACCAACCCCGTATAGATTTAGGGTAGAGAAAATAACAGACAAAATACAAAGGTTTCTGAAAAGTAACGTTCATGTTTATTTAAGAGGTTTTAAAGCTTACACAAATGTAATTTGAAAATTTTCAGATGAACAAAAGTATTTTTAATCTTAACATGAAAATCACTTTGCACCTGGAGCAGTCAATACTCATATATTTACAGGTAATTGTATTGTAAAAATACTCCATTAAAAATTATAATTCTATGTTAACAAGATTTCTAATGTTTACTTAAAGGTTGAAATATTTTGTGAAGATTTAGAAAACGTATTAAAGTTATCTTATGGAAAGTGATGGTCAATTTAAGGTCACCTGGTCAGTATAATCTACTGAGCCTAAAATAAGAGGGTTAAAATGATTTTAATAGTATTAAAAAATGTTTACAATAGTAGCTAAAAATACTTGTAGTAGTAGATAAAATGTTTACAATAGTAAATAAAAATACTTGTAGTAGTAGATAAAATGTTTACAATAGTAGCTAAAAATACTTGTAGTAGTAGATAAAATGTTTACAATAGTAACTAAAAATACTTGTAGTAGTAGATAAAATGTTTACAATAGTAGCTAAAAATACTTGTAGTAGTAGATAAAATGTTTACAATAGTAGCTAAAAATACTTGTTGTAGTAGATAAAATGTTTACAATAGTAACTAAAAATACTTGTAGTAGTAGATAAAATGTAGCTAAAAATACTTGTTTTTATCTACTACTACTACAAGTATTTTTAGCTACTACTGTAAACATTTTATCTACTACTACAAGTATTTTTAGCTACTATTGTAAACATTTTATCTACTACTACAAGTATTTTTAGTTACTACTGTAAACATTTTATCTACTACTACAAGTATTTTTAGTTACTATTGTAAACATTTTATCTACTACTACAAGTATTTTTAGTTACTATTGTAAACATTTTATCTACTACTACAAGTATTTTTAGCTACTATTGTAAACATTTTATCTACTACTACAAGTATTTTTAGCTACAAGTAGATAAAATGTTTACAGTAGTAGCTAAAAATACTTGTAGTAGTAGATAAAATGTAGCTAAAAATACTTGTAGTAGATAAAATGTTTACAATAGTAGCTAAAAATACTTGTAGTAGTAGATAAAATGTTTACAATAGTAGCTAAAAATACTTGTTGTAGTAGATAAAATGTTTACAGTAGTAGCTAAAAATACTTGTAATAGCAGATAAAATGTTTACAATAGTAAGCAATAGTTTACAACAAAACAAATTTTACAACTTTTATTAGGGAACAGAGACGGCCAAACACTTTATATCAAGAACTCAGTTTTCACGACACTGATGCGCTGGGAGAAGTGGATGAAGGAACTGATATCTCGGGTATATATAGAAGTAGTGGTAGTTAGAGATGTTTATTTTTTTATGTAGTTGTTATTAATATATAAAATATTTTTTCTGTCTTATATTGATCTGTTAAATATTTTGAAATGTCCATAGAAATTGTTTTGTGTCAGCCGTGATACCGATGACACCAAATGATATAGGGACAAGAATGTGTAATGATTTAATTTTTTTGATGCAAGTAGATTTTTTTTTAATCTTATATAAACTACATTTCTTTATTGCTTCCTCGAGGTGGATATGTTCATCCTGGAGAGTTTGCATCATCTGGTTAGTAATTTGACTCATTGTGCTAAAGCTAATATATTATGTATTGTAGCATTTTGTGTCTTTCAATTTATAAATGTATTATTTTGTTAACTAATATTTTCTAGAACTCTTTAGTTTCTTAGCGCACAGATTTGGCTGGTATATCGTGTAAATATTATTCATTGTAGTGGCTTTTAGATATAGCTTCACACTGTACTGAATAATGAAACATTATGTAAACAACATCATATTTAATTTGTAAAGTATAACACTGTCTCCTGTTTCAACAATAAGTAGGGAAAGCTTTGTTTCTCTTGTTTTTTCACTCTGTACTAAGTAAAAAGGTTTGCTAGTTTTGTGTACAGAGTAACTGTTTTGTTTTTCTGTGTATTAAATTCAGTTTCTTCTTTTTCTTTTCACTGTATTAAATACAAAACTCTGCTACACTTGTACAGAAAGTAAATTGTTTTGTTCTTTTTAAGCAGGTAACGGTTGTTTCTTTTCCGTGTTTTCCTCTTTATTAAGTACAAAACTCTGCCAGATTTGTGTAGGTAGTTACTGTTTTGTTTCCTTTGTGTGTTAGATAGGTAAAGTATTGTTTCTTGTTTGTGATTCTTTAATCTATTATATAGGTAAAGTAATCAACCAGACCTATGTAACTTTATATGTTTGAATAATATAAAACTACTTTGTGACTGTCAACCAGTGAAACGATCAAGTAGATCTGTGTAGCTTTATATGTTTGAATAATATAAAACTACTTTGTGACTGTCACCCAGTGAAATGATCAACCAGACCTATGTAGCTTTATATGTTTGAATAATATAAAACTACTTTGTGACTGTCACCCAGTGAAATGATCAAGTAGACCTGTGTAGCTTTACACTGTTTGAATAATATAAAACTGCTTTGTGATTGTCACCCAGTGAAATGACCAAGTAGACCTGTGTAGCTTTATATGTTTGAATAATATAAAACTACTTTGTGATTGTCACCCAGTGAAACGATCAAGTAGATCTGTGTAGCTTTACATGCTTGAATAATATAAAACTACTTTGTGACTGTCACCCAGTGAAATGATCAAGTAGACCTGTGTGGCTTTATATGTTTGAATAATATAAAACTACTTTGTGATTGTCACCCAGTGAAATGACCAAGTAGACCTGTGTAGCTTTACACTGTTTGAATAATATAAAACTACTTTGTGATTGTCAACCAGTGAAACGATCAAGTAGATCTGTGTAGCTTTACATGCTTGAATAATATAATACTACTTTGTGATTGTCAACCAGTGAAACGGTCAAGTAGACCTGTGTAGCTTTACACTGTTTGAATAATATAAAACTACTTTGTGATTGTCAACCAGTGAAACAATCAAGTAGATCTGTGTAGCTTTACACTGTTTGAATAATATAAAACTACTTTGTGATTGTCAACCAGTGAAACGATCAAGTAGATCTGTGTAGCTTTACACTGTTTGAATAATATAAAACTACTTTGTGATTGTCAACCAGTGAAACGATCAAGTAGATCTGTGTAGCTTTACACTG